ACAAACTTAATTATAATTCAATCTCTTTACCTTCCTGCGAGTATTACGTACAAAGACCGGGGCTGACCGTGTGAAAAATACCCAAAATTCAAACTTACATATTGTGACATGTTGCGCAAAGCCGAGCCCACCCCCCACACCAGCAGTGACGCGGCGGGTGAGTCAGCGCTCCCCTCCCACCCCTCAGCGGTAACGTAAGGCTCGCGTAATAGGCGAGTAATCACCCCGCATCCTGGCAGCTATGCGCGGTGACGTCACGAGCGGAGCCGAAGATAGCCGAGCCCCGTAACCGGGTAACTATGCAAGGCGAATCAACAGCGGTGACGTAACCGGACAGCGTGGATAGCAACAAGGGTGCCTATTACGTGGCCGTATTGTCCGATCGAGGCTACATAGGGAGCAGCGAAGGCTATTCACCGTCAGTTGTACTGTAACAGTCGCCGAGTCGAGTTGTACTGAGTCAGTCAGCGAGTCCTGGAGCTACCGCCGAGTTAGCCAGCAACTAGTCAGTTGTATTGTGGCATTTTTCAGTGTACTAATTGTGATACTGCAGATAGCAGTAATCGTCAGATTGTAATTTGGGTGATTGTGAGAGCGGATGTGAAATAAAATTCGCTACATCAAATACAGCGTGAAGTTATTTGTCGCGATATACGCCCGATACGCGACAATATCTAATGAACATGATCAGATAAAACAACAAAAATTGCAAGATTAAAAGTAAACACTTTCTTTACTTCTGATGCTCTACTTCAGTACGGACTCCCTTCACACGCCGTCATACATCCAATCGTTAACTCAGCTCTTCTGACGCTGTTTTACAATGCTGCCAATAGCGTCGAATGTAATGACGACGCACAGGAAAAGACCTGTAAGGAAGCGGTTATAGCCTGGTAAAACCCCGACGTCCCTACGTGAACTGAGGGAAACCATGTGAAACTTTATGAGACGTGGTAAAAAGTAAGTAAAGTTCTCCTTGTGCTTAACTAATTAAGCACTACGCTATGAAGGCGTATGGGGGAGATGTATACGTCCAAACTTTCTTGACCTCGGTACTAGCTGGAGGTAAGTGGTCAGCTTTACTCTCCAGCCGATTTACCCACGGGGAACGAGCTCGCGGTTGGAGGTTGGGTGGACCCCTGGAAGATGTTGAGAAAATTCTTGATCCTACCGGGACACGAACTCCGACACCTCGTTCGTCCAGCCCGTAGCCTTTATGAGAGGTGTATCTCGCCAGGAATTCGAAGAGAACACCTCTCAAATGTTAGTTACGAGCGTTAGCGTTACGCCAGCCAGAGTAACGTAGGATGTAAACGCAGCATAGGACTCCAACACAACCATCAAATGTCTACTACAGCGCATGCGTGCCTGGCACTGACCAGCACTCGCCTTTATTCGCAAGGAGGGGGAGGTGGAATAAACAACAGACGTAATGTGTATTTGCACCTGTTGAGAACTTAACGTTCCTTCCACGGCTTAATGGCGTGCTAACATATCCCAGATACACACATTTCGGTGGCGTTGTGTGGCGGTCACTGAATGGCCAGATTTCCGGACAAAGGAGGACCGACCGTTCACCCTAGCTCAACCATTAGATTTAATTATGTGAACGACAAAGTGCACAGAGCAGAACACTTTCCCACACAGTCAAATTCTCTTAAGTTTTATGGAACTAGAAGATTTTAGCCCGCCACTTTACCCTAAGTCACATGAATCCAGCCTATAAAGTCACGTATCATTTTCTTCAGACGTGTAGGTGTGTGCGCGTGACTTATACGGCGGGTTTTTGATTGGATGATTGTATTTATTGCACCTTATACATTCACAGCTCGGAATTACAGGGAATTATAGCGCTGTCGCTGATTTACACACTTTAAAAGTTCACCGTTACACACACATACACACTAGTGTTCTCAGTCTTCATTTGTCGTATCCTGGCAACGGATTTATAACCGAATCACTTTCACTTCAAATGACATATGAAGTCTTCTCTGCAGGTCTAATTCATATCACCTTCGACTGCGATCTCCAGAGCTCGACCCAATCCTCGACAACTAAATCAACCGACTTTCTTCGTCCCTTCATAACCCCTAGGAAAGGACCACACAGAAAACACAGCTTGCTTACTAATCCGTTGCCTAGCAATTGACGTCCTATTGTTGCGCGCGTACACTTCGGCGAGAATGTGTCTACCGAGTCGTTGCCTATCAATGGACCTATATGTCACAATATTATTCTCCCACCTACGCTCAGTATTCTGAAATTAAAACGCCATATCATCAAAAAGCGAAGTCAATATAATTATTACAGGAAAGAATACTGGTATCTACGGTTATAATTACCCACGTTATGCTGGCAATATAGGATTCACAGGTTCGACGTATGACGAGCTAGAAGCAGAGCCCACTGCCCTGTAAAAATATTGTACCTCCCAATAATAGTATACTACAGCAATACCTCGCATAGTCCGGATTCACTACAGTCCGGTTTGAACATTTCAAAACAAACTAAATTTTAATATAGCAAATTAAAAATAAATTCTAAAAAATTAGTATACCAAAATTATTTTTAATACATAAATGATCGGTTTCTTCCCTTTATACAGTGAAGCCTCTTTTTGCGCGGTTTATTTTTATGTAGTTTTAAAGTTATGCGATACGATACATAGTTCAAATTTTTCTGGGTTTCCCCGTTGTATATGTGTGTACCTATGCTCGGGTCGTTCGTGCCTGAGCTCCGACAGCTATCGCTGGAGGAGGCGGGGGGAGCACTACTTTAACGGAATTTTGGAAGAGCTACATCAGAAGCGTTAACGAAAATATAGACGAAGCATGGCATGAATTAACGGCAAGCAATATGAGGGCAGTATGGAAACATATCATACCTCATTGTGCAAATGATTTCATTGGTTTTGAAACTCATTTTGCTGAAGTCACTAATAACACAGTAGAAACGGGACAGCAACTTGGTTTCAACGAGTCAAGATTCGGCCACACAGAGCGCTACGCTATGTTCGTTATGTATGCTACGTACGCTTTGTACACTCTGCGACGCAGCTAATATAGGGAACAGCGTACGTAGCGTACGGAAGTCTGTGTGGCCAGTCACATTGGCAATAAAGGGAGATATTTTTCTGTTCGTATAGCGAACATAGCGTACGTAGCATGCGTCGCGTATGTAGCGCTCTGTGTGGCCGAACCTTTAGATTCCGTCAACGTAACTGAGTGCATCAAATCGAACACTAATGAAGTAGATAATGAAACATATGAACAATGGGCTTATGAAAAACGGGAGGACAACGACGACTGTGTTGAAGGGCCTGCACGAGAATTAACAGCTGAACAACTATAAAAAAAATTATTGGAATCGTTGAAACCTTGTCAGAGCATACTATGGAAGTTGATCCCAATATTGAACGTAGCCTTACAATTCACCGAACGATAAACAATGCAATTCGTTGCTACAAAGAAATGTATGTGCAGACATCAATATTGCAATTTTTAGAGACTAAAAAATGAATTGCGAAAAACATGAATTTCTTAAAATTATTTCTAATATAGACATTTTAAATTATTAATCGAGTTTTATTTATTGAAAAACGTAGATATATTTGGAACCAATTATGATTTTAGTTCCTCCACTAGTCCGGGATATTGGCGGCACCGATTACACGAACTATGCGAGGTATCGTAACAATGTGTGTTCTTCTTCTACCTTACGGCATTAAATTCTACCGAAAATATGAAATACCGGTAATCTCTTAACGGAAACCCTGTTATGCCTGTGCTTAACTACAGTAGAACTTGGTTATAACGTCATCAAAGGGACCTAAAAATAGTGTCGTTATAAACGAATGTCGTTGTAACCGAAAAGGGCACTTCCACAGTAGCCTTATGTTAGTCACGTAAAAATCTACCAAAAACCGAGTTAAAATGTTGCATTTTTTAGTGAAATACGTAGTTAAGTACAGACTAACGTAACATTAACGTGGAATTGCCCTAATGTGTAATATCAAAGACATATTACAGCGCTTTTCACTGACAATACACACCATATTTCACGAATCACTTTACCTTTCTCTTCAATGCTTAAAACTTTCCTTTTCATTGCCATGTTTTCGCTACTGCACTTCTCTGGGTTTAGGCAGGAACACTATAGGGTAAGTAGACAATGTGAGGTCCTGTTAGACGAGATTCTAGGAAAGGAATGCAGTTAACAACCTGCCGCGTCCTCTTGCACTATTCACGCAGTCCCACCCCACACCCTTGTTTTCGCATAAAACCCACGCTCCTCTTGCAGCCCGCGGTCGTATTCTTCCAGGACAGTCACGTCAGCAAGTAGAGAAAGTGAGGGTGGGCAGACACATCGACTTTCCCTAGATATCAGAGAAATTCAGGAATGAAAATGACGTTACATACGAGGTTGATGCATTTGTGCATGTCGTACTAAGCAAGGTATAAAAACCGTTACTTTATGAGGAATTAGTTCGTACCATTGAATATTTGACGCAATAGACAAGGTGTCGCAGAAACCGATGTTGCTATAACCAAGTTTTACTGTAATTAAGCACTACGCCATGAAAGCGTAAGCGGGAGTGGATGTACAGATCCAAATTTTCTTGACCTCAGCACAGTTGGACTTGACTGGTCAACTTCACGCACCGGCCACTTTACCCCCGGGGAAAGAGTCCGTCTGGACGACGTGGAGAAGAGAAAATTCTTGACCCTACAGAGACTCTAACTCCGACCCCCAGGTCGTCCAGCCCGTAGCTATACCAACTAAGTTATTCCGGCTCCAACGGATACCCTGTACCACAGGAAATTCCGTAAGAAGCGAGAGACGCTAAAGGAACTTCTTCAGTTACTCAAAAAGGAGGCATATCGGGATAGGAGCAGAACACTTCCCACATTCGAGACAGGCATGATAACTCTTCGCGGCCTCCAGTTACAACAGTACTTGCTTCTACTGTACAATCCTAATGATTAACTTGTTGAGCTTACCTTGGGGTCGAAGTTGAAGACAGTGTCACACTTGAGTGGACACTCCAGCCCACATTTGCACGTGCCTTGCGTCTGCAAGTACTCCTTCAGGTGGTCCAACGAGCTGAGTGCGGTGTTGCTGGGGCTGCAACAATATACAATTTTTATCAGGCGTAACCCTTTCAAACATGGAATTCATCTGAAGAAGACTTAAGAATTCAGTTCCTACCTCACAGGAAACATAAAGCGTCTTCATTAAAAAGATAAACCAGTAACGACATTTACGAAAGTAATCGGATTTGCCTCAGGAGGAAATTAAGATGAGATTAAAATGGGGGAATGCTTGCTACCACTCAATCCGGAACCAACTGTCTTCGTTCCTGCTGCCTGAAAACATAAAACTTAGAATTTACGAATCTACAGTTTTGCCTGTGGTTTCGTATGGGCATGAAACTTTCTGACATCAAGGAAGCAACAGACTGGGAGTGTTTCAGCACAGGAAGCCGAGAACATCTACACCGAAGAAGTTATAAAATAATACGAGATTGGAGGAAATTACATAATTAGGAGCTTCACAATTTGTACTCCTTGCTACTTATAATTCGGAGGTCGAGAAAGATGAGATAGGCAGGGTATCTAGCACGCATGGGACGAAACGAAATATATATACAGGATTTTGCGGGAAAGCGAGAATGAAAGAGGCCACTAGGAAGTCCCTGACGTAGGTGGGAGGATATTATTAAAATTGGTCTTAGATAAATAGGATGGAGCGGTTTCGTTTGGACTTATCAGGCTCAAAACAGAGGGCTCTTGTGAACACGGCAATGAACCTTGCGGTTCCATAAAATGTTAGGGCTTTCTTGCGTAGCCGAGGAACGTGAGGTTCCTCAACAGGGCTCACCTCCACGGAGTTAGAGAAATAATCGGTGTACACGGTGAGAATCTTGCGAAACGAAAAAAAAATAAGCGCTGTAGGAAAAAAGCAGTCTTTAGAAGCTAAAACTAAAGCGTGGTGCATATGTTTACCGTTCTACAGATGCTACTCACAACTCTTCCGTGTTAATATGAAGCTCCTAAGCAGTTTCAGTTTTCGCTTTACGAGTTACTTAGACCGCAAACGTTAATATTATGTGTTCATGAACTGTAAATGCCGAAAAGCAATCGTTTTAACGTTTTCAAACACACACACACACAAATTAAACACGTATGCATTAATTGTCCGCCCCTGTGAAGATTAATATGCAACGATATGACCGCCTCTGTGGTCTAGTGGTCAGAGGTCTTGGCTACAGATCCAGAAGTCCGGGTTCGATTCCCTGCGCTACCACATTTTTCTGAGAAGAAGTGGGTCTGGAACGGGGTACCCTCAGCTTCGTGTGGATAATTGAGATACTTTACTTGAAAAATAGCGACTCCGGTCTACAAGACAGAGATTAACGGCCGTGGAAATCCGTTGCGTTGACCACGCGACACCCTGTCTGCTAAAGTTGGCACTAACTTCGCCGACAAGCGGCGCTTGCTCGGTCGGTATAGTTCGCTTACGGACTAAAGCCACGGATTTCTTTTTTGTATATAACGTAACGTATGATACTGACTAGGCTACGGGCCGGACGACCGAGTAATCGAGGTTCGATTCGTGGCAGAGGCAAAAAACTTTTCTCTTCTTCATGACATCCGAATTAACTCTGGGACCTAACCAGCCTCCTATCCAATCGGTACCGGTGTAAAGCGACTGGAGCATGAAGCTGACCACTAACCTACATCAAGTGATGAGGTTACGCGTAACTGGAATAATGACTCCCCCTCCACCGACATGTCATGGCGTAGTGCTTAAACAAGCATATGAACAACTCTATAAGGTACGTATCGCACTTCTTAGAGCGATTATATTTAGTGACTATAGGCGTCATTGGCGAAATTCTGCAGTACATGTTACAGTGTTTAAAACATTTCAGGCTGCGTACTGTTATATCATTAGAAAGGTACCACAAACAGCATCTCTCTGAACACACAAGACCTTTTCTCCCGTCGAGTTGCCCACTCAAGGTATGAAGTACCCTCCAAGATGTTTCAGACAGCATTGGCTTTTTTATTTTTTTATTGCTAGTGGGGTGAGACTAAGTCCCTTGTACTGCGGCTACTTCTGGCCTATTGTACCAGCCGCAGATGATAGGTGAGGGTGATTGTGGAGCAATTGGTGGAATGAAGATAGGCAGGGGAAACCGAAGTACTCGGATGAAACCTGCCCCCGCGCCACTTTGTCCACCACAAATCCCACTTGACCAGACCCGGGATCCAATCCGGGCCGCCGCGGTGGGAAGCCAGTGACTAACCGCTTGAGCTATGGCGCGGCTCAGCATGAGCTTATTTCGATATGGTTGTTCACTTGACTGCTCGGCCGTACTGTACCTGAGGGGCTACTTGAGAGGTCCTCTGCTAAGTACCGCTGGCCTTGCTTTGTGCTCATTTGCATGTAGTAAGGGACCCAACCTTCCAAGAATTATTTAATTTGTATTAAATACAATTGTTTCTTCGGGGAAAGAGCCCCAGGAGAGGCTGGGTGGCCCCCAGAACTGATCTTAACGCTGTGGAGTAGAGAAAAAGGCAAAGCTCTCCCTGTAACAGGCCGTGGAGGTCCATAGGGTTGTGAGACGTCGAGGCTCCCACATTTTCAAGACAATCGGTTCACAGATGGCGGTAAGGTTGTCAGCCATTAGCGCCGGCCGACCTTTATACTCCAGGAAGATTCCTGGCACTCATTTCTGTTAAGAGACTGAGACGACAGCAGGGTCATAGTGCGGATGGAAGGATTAGATCAATTTAAGAATCCAATGAGCTCATCGGGGATCGAACCCGCGACCTTCTGGCTTGGAGCAGAGTGCCTCAACCAACTACGCTACCGTGTGCCCCCCAGTTTTAACTGATTTTAACTAATTAAGCACTCGCCATGAAGGCGTATGGGAGAGTGGATGTATAGACACATCTTTTCTTGACCTCGGCACTGGTTGGAGGCGAGTGGTCAGCTTCACGTCCCGGCCGCTTTACCCCGGAGAAACAGTCTCCTGTACCCATTGAGTAGAAGGATGGGAGGACACTAGAGCCGGTCTGGATGAGATAGAGAACCGAAATTTTTTACCCTACCGGGACTTGAACTCCGACCCCTCGGTAGTTCAGCCGGTAGTCAGCAGCTACGCTACCCCGGCTCTTAACATACTCTAACAGTAAAGTAAGTATATACGCATAATTATGAACTTTACTTAGAGCTTCTCCGGTTTCTCTTTATGGTCCTAAGAGTACTTCAAGGGTACACTTCACCTAATGTTCTATGTGGCACCACGTGACAAAACTCGCAATGGGAATTCCCCCTCTCGTGCATTCATCACCGAACAAAGGACTATGAATATACCGAAGTTTCCGAGTCTGTTTTGACAGCGGGTCGTTGGATACTTACGCGAGCGCTCTGTAACAGCGAGAAACGGGCAGTTGTATTTTTTATATAGACAAAACTCACGTTCCTTTTCCATATTCGGGAGGTTGTGAGTTCGGTTTCCGCTCTAAGGTTAGCTATACTGGCTAGGGATCTTCTTACATTTTCGTTGGTTCTGCCTCGAAAATTCCATCACGGTGACTTAAATAGGCCACGAGCGTTTTCTTCCAACAAACATTGTTGTTATTATTATTATTATTATTGCTCTACAGCCCGTTGTTGGGCCTTGGCCGCTTTTTTCAGTTTCTTGATCCCATACACAGTTTGTGGAAGACCGCCTCTGTGGTCTAATGGTCAGTGTTCCTGGCTACAGATCAAGAGTTCCCGGGTTCGATTCCCGGCGCTACCAGATTTCCTGAGAACTACTGGGTCTAAAACGGAGTTCACTCAGCCTCTTGAGGATAATTGAGGGGCTATTTCAAGGAAATGGCGGCTCCGATCTAGAAAACCGAGATTAAAGGCCGTGGGGATCCGTTGCGCTGACCACGCGACACCTTCTATCATCTAAAGTTGGCACTAACTTCGCTGACAAGCGGCGGTCGCTCGGTCGGTATAGTTCGCTTGCGGACTGCAGGTCACGGAGTTTGTTTGTTTTTTGTTTATACAGTTGGTAGGATTCCTTGGAAAGGGGATCAGACAGTCGCACGGACGCTACCTACACACAATACAGACATCCATGCCTTGAATGAAATTCGGATACACGATCCCAGTATTCGAGAGAGCGAAGACAGATGATACACCGCCTGCGCAAAGGGAAATGCGCAGAAGAATAAGCATAGAAATGTACCGGCCGGCAAGTAACCGCTGTGCTGCGTAAAATGACAGGAAACGGCGCAGACACATAAACAGAGACCTAACCTAGATGTTCATATTTTGAAGTCTCCTTGCAAAGCCTGCTGATGAGGGTTGGTCGGCTATCTGATCTTCAGACAAGCATACTAGAGGTAAAAAGGGTAAAGTCCCTCTGTTTAATTAAGCACTATGCCATGAAGACACACGGGAAGGCAGAGGTATAGCTCCACCATTCTTGCCTTCGGCTCTAGATGGAGGTGACTGGTCAGCCGTCACGCTCAGGGGAAATCCCCTTAGGTCCCAACTGAATAGGAACCTCAGTGAACCCCAGAGCCGATGTGGAAGCTGTGAAGAATAGAAAAATCTTAACCTTGCAGGGAAACGAACCGTGGACCGGTGCTAAATACTCCCTTAATGGTCCTACTGACTTTTCCTCTACCACTTGCCAATACGGATGCAAAATTCATTTGACGTCAGTCTATGTTATCAATTTTCAGCTTCCACGATTTTTTTTTAATTCGCTATGTGGGGGGTTGGAGTCCAACTGGGTCCACTCGGCACGGCGGCCACTGATTGGCCTATTGTAGCCTGCCCCGGGAGATTATGGTGACGGTGAATTTGGTGGAATGAAGATTGGTAGGGGAAACCGAAGTAGTGGGAGAAAACCCGCACCAGCGCCACTTTGTACACCACAAATCCTTCTTGATCAGAACCGGGATTGAACCCGGACCTCCGCGGTGGGAAGCCAGCGACTAACCGCTTGAGCTATGGCGCGGCCTTTCAGAATTACTTAATAATGAACCTTATGGCGATTAACAGAATCTGCCGGGCAATGGGTAGGCGGAATGCAAGGCCTCCAAATACAA